CCAGCAGAAGGCTCTCCACGGAGCATTTGCAAAACATCGAGCGCTGGGATCTCCCACCACCATGCTCAAGTTCTGGAGGAGCAGGTCAGTGGTGGAGGCATAGTACTGAGAACTCATACTGGATCGAGTCCAGTCACTATCGATTGAGGAGCTTGGATGATCCGGTGCCCCGCCAGTGAGCGTCAGTCTTTGCCCATGTGAGGCGTCGAGGGCGCTCTGTTGGTGCTCAGTAACCGGTAATGTCCTGTGTTGTTGACATGGCCCGTTGTGGTGTTGCTGTTCGCCTGCAACTTGTCGTATCCCCATGTTGTGTGGTGCACTGCCATTGGGTGAGCGCTCGTTCTGAAAGTCCTGTGTGTTTGCTCCAACACTGGTCCTATCAGAGTGATACGTTTCCGCTTCTGAGCCTGAGGCAGCGCGGCAATCCCATTTGGTTTGTAGTGAGCCCCAAAACTGCTGTGTTTTGTGAAATGTCCCCTTCACAGGTGACAATGGTGGCTGAATTCTCTGTGGAGCCATCATGGGTTATGCACCTCGTGTGTGGTGGTGCAGTAAGATCCATGGGCTCTTCCTCAAAACTGGTGTCCATTTCGAACAGTGATCCCCTGTTTGACTCTTCAGTTCCATCACATGACCATGTGTCATCTTCCGGTAACGGAAAAGTCCACCCCGTCATCATGTCAGTGCTGTCCCTGTTACCCACAATGTCCTGGTGGTGGTGCAGCAATGCCATCTGTTTTCCTGCGCTTCGTGGGATCATCTGGGTCCAGGTCTGGCCGCTTGAGGAGGCCGTGCAGCTGGCTCTTCTGCTCTTCTGTGAGCGAGATGCCCAGACTGTGTACAAAGGATTCGACTGCCATGGGGATTTGTTCAGGTTCCCCTGTGCCTGTTGCCAGTTCAGCTGGTGCTGGAGTCTGGTTGAGGCCTTCACGTAATCTTGTGAGAGCTGTCCTTCAGCAAGTTTGCTCTGGAGGTCTTGCATGTCCGTGAGTAGGGAGGCATATTGAGCCTTGTGCAATGGGCGGATCTTCTGGTCCAAGCCTGCTCCTCAGCTTTGGTGGTTCGTTGGTCTGTTGTGATGAAAGCTGTTTTGCTGGCATTCACCCGGAGCCCTATGTGGTCGATTAAGATCTCTCCATGCTGCAATGGCTGTAGTTACCGCCCTGTCTGGGTCATTGTCTTCAAATTCATAGCCGATGTCGCCGACCCAGCCATTGACATTGATCTGCGGGAACTTGGCAACAAAGGGTTGTAGCGCTGGTGCGAGATAGGCCTTAGCCAGCAAGGGAGCTTGTGGACACCCTGCAGCAACCCCTTTCTGGGCGAAGAAGAACTCTGAAAGCTCAGCCTCCGCCTGTATTGCCTTTGGTCCTGTGTACAGTTGGAGAGCGAACCACAGTGGTAACGCTGGATATTGGAGCTCTTGTGCAACAACGGCCAAGGTCTGGAGGTCGATGCAATCGTAGAAAGTGCTCATGTCCAGAAGCACTGTGATCCCGTGCTTTGCCCTGGCCTTGTTGACCTCCTGTCTGAGTAGCCTGGCCAGCGCGACGTGGAGGACATGAGCTCCAGGTCTTGCACGGTCGTAGCTCATGCTGAAGGGCAATTGAAGCTGCCATTGGTCCAGAAGATCTTTCCTCAGCCGGCACCAGAGTCTGTAGACCGTGGAGGTCAAAGCATCACGATGAGGCTTTGGATCATCTGAGTGGGCAGAGTCCCATGGAGCTCATAGTAGCGCAGGATCTGTTCCGTCCTCAACAGTTGGCATCAGGGCCTGCAGCTCTGTCGGACCTGTGCCAGTTGCACGGGGTCCCGGGTGTCGCGAATCTGCCGAGCTTACCCCGGTCTTCTTGTCTTTGGAGCATACGCTGTTGCACTTCCAGTTGTCTTTACCGCTGCCAGTTAGTTCTGAGGCTTTGAGACATCTGAAGAGTCCTCGTAGCCCTTTTCCTTCACCTTGCTGAAGCCACTGTTGGTATTGGAGGGCTGCTTCATCCGGGCCTGGATGTGTGCCTCTGCCTGTTGATGCTGGATGGTATGGACAGGAGCTCTGCCGATCGTGCATCTCTGTACTGTTTCCAATGGTACAGGATGTCCATGAATGTATGGGCTGTGGGTGGTCCAACCCATTGTTTCGGTGCATCTTGCGCTGCTGTAAGAAAGCCATTGACCGGCTTGTGGTGACCTTTAGGTGCTTGTATTGCCAGTTGAAGTCTTGCTTTGAGTTGCTCCCAGTAGGCAGGTCTGCCTCGGCGCCAAAGCGGCCCTGCAGGTGGCCTTGCCAGTGGCTTGTGGGTGGCTTGTACCCAGTAACCCCTCCCTTGAGGTTGCCACGGATGCTCCTGGAGGAGGTATTGCTCAGTGATGGAAACCCAGTCAGCTAAGGATTGGGCTTCTGTGTTTGGTTCAGCATCGTACAGTTGCAGGGCAGTAGCCTGAGACGTGTAGGTGCTCCATGGGCGGAAGCCTCCGTGGTAACGGAGGAAAGGGGCATGGCTGTCTGTAAACGCGCATGGAGGAGTCCTGTTCAGGGCTGATGGAAGCTGAGGTGCCCCCAATCACTGATAAGCGCTGCTGACTGCCATGTTCCCTTGGAGCCGGTGGCTGTGAATTGATAAAATTGGCATTTGAGTTCATGTAGCTCAAATGTTGTGATTCATCGTGTTGCTCATCCCCTGCAACACTGGTCCCAATTGGAAAAAGTTTTGACGTGAGTCCTGTGAGTTGCTTCTCCCCTGCAACGCGGTGGAAATCAAAACGTGCCCGCTGCTGTGAGCCTTCATGAAGAATCAAAGTCATGTCCCCAGTCAAAATCGTCCCACGGGATCGGAATGTCAAGTCCCGTGAATGAGAGCTGTTGTGAGGCCGGGTTACCCACAGGATCCTGGTGGTGTCGCAGGTCCGAGGCCTTCCGTTTTCCTTCCCTTGGAAAGGTCGTCGTTGTTGTCGTTGGGTCTTTTGAGCAACCCATGCAATTGAGACTTCTGTTGAATCAGAAAGGGAGACCCCAAGATTGGCTACAAAGGTCTCCAAAGCGGCCGGAAGAGGATCGACCTCCATGCTGCGCTCAAGCTCAGGTGGTTGTGGATCTTTGTTCACTGCTTTCATGTTGTCCTCGGAAAGCATCTTAAGGGCTTGCTGCCCTTCATTGAGCTTCTGCTGTAACTCCTGCATCTCGTTGAGGAGAGTCTGGTATTTAGGTTTGGTCTGGTCCAGTTTCTGCTGAAGATGTGTCTTCTTCGTGGACAGGTTCTTGAGCTCAGTGGCTGTCCCTTCAACTTGATTGCAATGTCCTGCTCAGAAGCCGGGGTTGGTGCTGTCAAACGTGTGACTGCTTCTTGTACCTGGGTGGGCAAGGATGCCATATGCGTTTTAAGCGTCTCACGTAGGTCAGGTTCTGGTGGCTTCTGAGGTCCAATGCCGAGGTGCTGTAGTTTGTTGAGCGGTCTCATTCTTCCCAAGCCTGGTGGCGTGTCAATCCATGTTGCCGGCCAAGGAGGTGTGGTTTTGGTTGGTCGTCCCTGCCCTTTTCCTTTGCCTGTGCCCCCTGAGCTGGTTGTGACTCTTGGCCACCAGGTGCCACACTTGCGACGTCTTGTGTCCGGTCGTAGTCGATCTTGGCTGCAGGTCACATAGCTCCGGCACCAGGAGGTAGGTGGGCAGGAAGTGGGCACAGATCAGGGCACGGTCCACGGACTGGCCGAAGGCAAAGGCAGACAAAAAGTTCCAGTCTGGGTCAGGATTTCCCGCAAGTTGAGGTGACGGGGAGATAGTTCTCCAAGTAGAGATGCCAAAGTTCTTGTCCCTCACTATTGCGGGCAAAGTGAAGTCCTGTAGGAGTGGATGTGCCTGGGCCGTTGGAGACGTCAAACTCCCTGCACCTGTAGCGCAAGAGGAGTTACGCACCAGCCCGATTTCAGGGGCCACGGGCTTGAGCAGCTTGTGGCTTGAGCCATGTATGTGTATGTACATATGCGTGTATGTATGTATGTATGTATTGTTCTGTTTTTTATGTTTTGTTTTGTAGTGTAATGTATGTATGTATGTATGTATGCAAGGATGTACGCATGTATGTATGTGTGTGTATATGTGCGTGTGTTTGTGTGTGTGTTTGTCTGTCTATTTGTATGTATGTATGTGTGTACGGTTGTATTGTATTGATTTATGTTGATGTACGTAGGTAGGTATGTATGTATGTATGTATGTATGTAATGTATGTAATGTAATGTATGCATGCATGTATGTATGTATTGTTCTGTTTTGTTATGTTTTGTTTTGTTTTGTAGTGTAATGTATGTATGTATGTATGTATGTATGTATGTATATATGTATGTATGTATGTATGTATGTATGTGTGTTTGTATGAATTTCTGTATGTATGTAATGTAATGCAATGTTATGTTATGTAATGTTATGTGTTGTTTTGTTTTGTAGTGTTATGTAGTGCTATGTAATGGTATGTAATGTCTTGTATTGTTATGTAATGTTATGAAATGTTTGTATGTATTGTAATGTAACGCAACGCAATGCAATGCAATGTAAGGTAAGGTAAGGTAATGTATGTGTGTATGTATTGTATGTGTGTCCGTGTGTGTGTGTGCGTGTGTGTGTTGTACGGGGTGGGAGGGGGGAATTGGACCGAAGGACGGCAAAGTGCGGGGGAAAGGCGGGGAAGTGAGCTAATGTTGCCTGGTGAGCTAATGGTTGATGGATTGTGCTGCCAGGGGCCTGACTTTCGTTCCCTCCGTTCTCAGGTTTGGTCAACATGAAGTCAACTGCACAAATAAGACTGGTATGTTCAACACATTTATGTGCAGTCTAACCAGGGCACTTTTTGGCATTGTCACTCTTGATTCTGGTGGTAGGTCAAGAGATTTTTTCAGTATCAAACCCAACGCGGTAGATGTTGCGCAATTGGCAGAGGGGTTTACTTTGGAGTTTACTTAACAACGACAGTCGTATTTTTACCAGCAGAGTTTTGCGATGCCAACAAATTTCAGGTCAAATGGCCGAGTCTATTTGCTGGATAACTTTGCCAGCTTCCATGCCCGTGACCTGAACCAGAAAGCACTCTCTTTGGCAGATGATGCCTGCGCAGCAGCTTTGGAGGTCAGGGTTGCTTTGGTGCCATTCTGCAGGATTTGTTGCATGCCGTCACAACACAGCAATCGGCACATATTGAGTTTTAAAATTTCATTTGTTTGACCTGCGGCACGCAGGTGCAGCAACTTTATGAGAGTATGCGGACGAGCGCCTTTGCGCTCAAGGGGTGGCCTTCGCATGGCTTGTAATGTGATGTAATTAGTGTGCGCGACGCTTATGCCAACAAACATGCGTTTCTCGGAGAACAAAGGCTAATTTGTATATAATTAGCCGGGCCATAGTTCTGGAGATTGTCATGGAAAGCAGTGAAGATGACACTATCAAACTACTTCAACGGAATATATATTTAAGTTTAAGTTTAAGCAACGCTGGCAACAGATCATGGCAGATAGCGGACAGATTCCTTAATTAAAGCATAGAAAGAAAACCAATAATAAGGGCGAACGCTCGAGACAATACAGCCCAAGCGTACAGTCTCCTGTTTTTCCATCAAGGTATTTTCCTGGAGGCTACAGATGCTTTAGGAGAAGCCGGACTTTCTGGCGACCTTCTAAGTTTCTCGGCTGAAGGCGGGCCTGAAGCTACTAATTATGTTTTGAGCGGCTCAAGGGTCTTCGCATTGAGCGGCTAGCGCATGAATGTTGGCTCCAAAATGGGTGCCGCGCGACAGTGTACATTTAGATCGTGCCTGATGCACCAAGTGATGTTTTTGCAAACTTGCCAACACAAAGAATAGGCTAACGCTCGGGTCCCACTGACCCTGTTAGTGGGCTAGACAATAAAGACAGACAAAAGCAGGATTTAATAACAACTCCATGCAGGCAAATTGTCTATACTGTATACTGTATAATATTGCAGGCTTTGGTGATTTGTTCCCAACAATTCACATACTTTCGGAAGAACCCCATCTAGTTCTGTGTGCAAAAGCGGCCGGAAAGTGCCAGCGGGCATGGCTTCGAAACTCAGTAAACACGGTTTGCATGTCCATGGCAAGAGGCAGGAAGGCGCCTCTCCGCCACTGTCTTCGCTAATGTCGACGTCGGATTAATCAACGGGCCCCCCTCCCCCCCCTAGAAGGTCAACAAGGTCAACAAGGTCTGAGATTGGAGGTTTTGGAGATCACATCACCCTAATAGTGGGGATGACCTGATGATGACAGGACGAGGAGATGAGATGGGATGGAATGATGAGATCCATGAGAGCCCAAATACTAATTCCCATGAGATCCATGAGATCCAGGAGATGAGATGGGATGGCATGGGAAAAGAGTGGATCAGAAGATCAGTTTCACCATGGACCAAAAGATATTGAAAAGGCAAAAAGAACAAAACTAATTAAACGCATATATATTTGAATAATTATATTTTTCCTGGGGGGACAGGGGGTAGACTAATAGGGGGGGGGTTCAGGCAAGCAAAATTTTTATTAGAGGGTGGTGACTGTGGAAATTAGTAGTTCAAATTAGTTTATTATTGGGGCCTGAACGCTGGGTAGACTAATAGGGGGGGTTGGTTAATCCTAGGATTGCATTATCTAGCTGTGTGCGCAAAAGCGGCACAATAGGGGCAGGCGGCAACTTCGAAACCCAGTAAAGTGCAAGCTCGTGGAACGAGGAGTAGAGATGCCTCTCCGCCACAGCCTTAGCCCATCGACTTTTGCTGCAAAGGTGGCTGGAGGTCTTGCCAGACAGCAGCCTCAAAAAAGCCGCAGGGTGGGCTCCGCCCGGCTTAGGCCAGGTTAAGCCGTGGTCGGCAGACTGGCTCACAGTTGGATTTTGGTAGAGAGTTGCCGTGCCAGGAGGTGATGAACCACCGGTATATGAGTTGCGGACATACCAGCTGAAGCTTGGATACACAACAGCTCCCTCGATGAACACTCAGCTTTGCTTGTTGGCTCCAAGTCAGGCCTAGATTCGGGTGTGTATAGTATATATAAAGTTGTGTTCCATGTTTGGGGTAGTGTGCTGTATCTTTGCTGCAGGCACACTGTGTGCTCAGCCTGAAAAATGATCTCCCCTTCCTGTGTGAGGTTCCAACATTTGTTGAAAAATACACCAACGGCCTCAAAGAGAAGCTGGCCGCGGACCAAACCGGCCAATCCCATCTTGTCACTTGCTGAAATAGACTTTGAATGGTTTGTATTGTGACTCGCTTTGGATTTCATTGAGGTGTTTTGTGTGTGTATATATCCTTGTGAGGGTGTTCAAAGGCATACAGGCCTGGCACCCTGGAAACACGCCAGTGAACTGAGAATAGGTAGGTTGGAGTCGCGTGACTGGAGGTCAAGAAACCAAGACATCCAAGAACAATCTAGAACTAGTTGCACCGTTGCAAGCATACTTGGATCAGACCATCGGCGAAACCAACTCAGGTGAGTCTTATGTACAGCGAGGCAGGTGCAGCTCCACTCAACACTGTGCATGAGCTTTGGCGCCACACCTCCATCCAGGAGCGGGGAATCATTTAGCTATGTGACCTATCATCGAAGGACGTGTTGAGTTCTTCTTTGTGGATAAAGACAGAAACCACTGTAGTATATAATTACAAACACCACTTCCATGTGTGTGTAACCCTTGGCGTCACAGGGATCCTGATGGATTTGTTTTGTTTTGTATTTTTTCAGCAGGGGAGTGCGGCGTGATTGTAGGACCGCACTCAACGAAGCTACCACAATCACGGGATACCGAGTCTGATCAACTCGGCGTACCTGCTTTTTTAAAAAAACTAGACTTTGGTGACCTTGGTGTGTTTGTGTATTGAATTTATGTCTTGTGAACTAGTAGCGGCGGCCTCAAACCTGGCGTGATGGCCTCCAACGCGCTAGAGATGACCTCCAACCTTGTTTTTGGGCTTGTGTCTTGTAAACTCGTAGCGTGGGCCTCCAACCGGGTGCTATGGCCTCTAAATCCATTAGCGATGACCTCCAACCTCGCTGCTTCCTGTCACTTTTGTTTTGCTTGTGTGTACAACCTACTAGCGATGGCCTCCAAACTTGGGCGATGGCCTCCAACCTACTACCTGTTCTGGTATCTTAGGCTTTTCACTTAAGCTGGCGTGTGGCAACCGCTTTCATGTCAGTACACATTTCTATAAGTGTGTCTCTCCTCGTGAGCGTTAGGGTGACCCCGCAGAGTGGCCCCTGTGGACCCTTTGAACGGGGGTTTGTCGAACATATCCCCTGACGCTTGCTCTACCTGGGAACACCTGTCCCTCCCTTCTCTTTCTCCTCCTCTTTCTTTTCCCTGTCTCTTTCTCTTTCTCTCTTTCTCTCTCTCTCTCTCTCTCGCTCTCTCTCTCTCTCTCTCACTCTTTCCCTTTTTTGCTTGGGTGTCCCTGGATGCTTTCCTCATAGCCGGGAACCCTTCTCTTCTTCTCTTGGTGTGTCCTTGGACGCTTGTGTCGTAGCTGGGAACATGTTCTTTTCCTTTCCTTTCTTCTTTTTCTTTCTTTTTTTCTTTCCCTACCTCTCCCTCCCCCGCGCGCGATGCGTTCACATACAAAAGAGGCGTTGCAACAGGTTTTCAATGAGCTTTGGCTTCATCGGTTCTCGTCCCCTCCATTTGTATCCCTTCTCACCCTTCCCCTTCACACACATTTGTTCTCCTCTTTTATTTCATGTCCTCCTGTCTTCATGTCTTGGCATTTCATTCCTTCCTTCTTTAGCGCACATCGGTCCCGGCCTCAGTGTGTACGCGCACATATTCTCGTACTTTTAAACCCAGCGCCCAGGTTTGACAATGAGGTCGGGTTCGTCGGTTGTCCCTGTGCACTTGGTTCCCTTTCATCGCAACCACACACACTTTTGTCCTGTTTTGTCCTCTCTTCATGTCTGCATCTTTTAGTCTTTGCTGCGCGCACACGTGCGCATTTGTCCTAACCTTAGTTTTTCTCGCCTCCCCTCGGGGAGGCGTGCGTGTGTGTAAGCCTTGGCGTCACAGGGATCCTGATGGATTTGTTTTGTTTTGTATTTTTTCAGCAGGGGAGTGCGGCGTGATTGTAGGACCGCACTCAACGAAGCTACCACAATCACGGGATACCGAGTCTGATCAACACGGCGTACCCGTTTTTTTAAAACTAGACTTTGGTGACCTTGGTGTGTTTGTGTTTTGAATTTATGTCTTGTGAACTAGTAGCGGCGGCCTCAAACCTGGCGTGATGGCCTCCAACGCGCTAGAGATGACCTCCAACCTTGTTTTTGGGTTTGTGTCTTGTAAGCTCGTAGCGTGGGCCTCCAACCGGGTGCTATGGCCTCTAAATCCATTAGCGATGACCTCCAACCTCGCTGCTTGCTGTCACTTTTGTTTTGCTTGTGTGTACAACCTACTAGCGATGGCCTCCAAACTTGGGCGATGGCCTCCAACCTAAAAGCGATGGCCTCCAATACCTAAAAGCGATGGCCTCCAACCTACTACCTGTTCTCCTGGTATCTTAGGTTTTTCACTTAAGTTGGCGTGTGGCAACCGCTTTCAAATCAGTATGCATTTCTATAGGTGTGTGTGATTTATCCTTTTGATTATTGATAATCGTCAGTTTATGTTTGGGATGTATTTATGGTGGAAAGCGGATTTTGCAGGCGGCATTGTTGATCATGTTCATGGACCTGTAACCTGTACATCAAAATCATGCCTTCTACACGGTCTGGATAAACTGAAACAGCGGAACGGTTTGATGTTGAAGTCTCAGCAAAAAAATGAGTCATTCAAAATCGAAGGCAGTTGCAAGGAGGATGTTTGATCATTTTTAAAAGTGTTCAGTCGTGATCAATACTGTTGCTGGAAGTGTCAGTATGTATATAAAAATGAATACACATAAAGAGTACTATGAATAATATGTTGCTGTCCAGGGCAGCCAAGACTCACGGCAAGCCTCTCGTCGGGCAAGTGGCTGGAAGCAGGCGCGGATGAACATAATCACCTCAATGTTTGTTCTTTAGTTGTCATTGGCCATCGGATAAAAAGGAACGTACATAACAAGAAGAAGATAAAGGCACCTTAATTGTTAAAGGTGCCCTTTACTTTGTTGACAGAATTTATCAGGTCCAGATTCAGGCAGAATCCCTGGAATCTTGTGAGGCCATTGCTGAGATTGCTGAGCTGGCCATCACTTTTCACTCCCAATATTTGCGACCAGTTCCTGGAGTTGGCCAGTTGCAGTAAACGTCAGAGCAACACCGCTCCCTCAACCTCAATGCGAAGCAGGCATTAAAAAGCGCATCATCAAGGACAATTGAGTTTCGTGTGCTGACGGATGTTAGCATTGCTTACGATTCATTCGGGTAGTGTAATATGTCCTTGTTGTTGTCATCGTACGGCATGACGGCACAACACAGTGCTTCAGCTACAGTGTTTCAGCTACACAATGACTGTAATCATGTATACTGTATATATTCCCATTGAACCATGGCAGGCATTTGCATTGGCGAGTGGACTGTGTGGCCGTTTGTGAGTTGAATTTGTGCGTTGACAACACTTTAGTTCAGACAGCTTGCATCGACAATACAGGGTTTGATTGGTCACAACTTGTTGCAGGTGTAGTTTTGGCCAAGTGGGTGACACTTGGTCAGGCCTCAAGCCGAAAAGATTTGCTTTGGTTTTCTTGTGCACTTTATGCTTCATGTTGATTCAAGGCTGTTGCACAGTACATCACTCCCTCAATTACACATATGCAGCAACTGTTGGTTTCTTCCATTCTTCTCCATTGAGGATCAGGGATTGGACAGTGATGAATATGGACCTACGCAATTCTTGAAAAATGTCAGCTTTAAGTGTCCCTAAAAATCTAGGAGCCACACGAATAGTGCGAGCGCTTCTTCAAGGAAGCGTAAGCTATCCTGCGTCTAGTAGCTAGCTACTTGAGCTACTAGCTATCTCTCTTCTACTCTTCTACTAGCTACACCTCTTCCTCCCCCCCCTTTGAAAAGATAATCTGTCCATCGTCGCTAGTTGCCAGCCCTTCGTCGCCACGGCGCCTGACATTGACACTGCCCGGAGCACCAGCTAGCAGACATGATGTTCAGCCCAGAAATCCTGGGTTTGTTTTGACGAGTGTGGTTTCTGCGCTGGTCGGGGTAGCATCATGATCTATAGTAGAACCGGACTATGACATATGATGAGGACGATTGAGCACGCAACAGGATCAAGAAATCAAGGGTGACGGAAAAGTAACAGAACAATCCAAGGCTGGTCAAGAATCGGCTCATATGCACAATGCCGTCCTTCTCTTAGCTTCGGTGTTTTCAGTCCACGCTGTGCACCACCAGAGGCTCAATAGGGTTCGAGAGGTTGAGGTTTAGACAAACGGCCGGGTGTAGGTGTGACTATTTGTCACGATGAAGGAGACAGGTAAATAGACATAGACTTAGCGTTGTGTCCGACAAGAAGAAGGAATCTGCAAGGCGTCCATGCTTGCAGAGTTTCAGTCTTCCGCATGCCCGATGGCTCTTTGTTCTTTGTTCTGCAAGGCCACTGCAGTTACCACAGAGCTGCTTGACCTGAACATTACAGTGTGTCTCTAGGGGTGTAAGGGAAAAACTAAGAGATGACCGCGCTTTTTTGTAGAAGTGTAGATGATTCGAGAGCCGTTTTTAGCAGGAGCTTGCTCAGTTGCTGTGAGTCAAAGTGGTGACAAGCAAGGAAACGCATATATAGACGAGCTCTTTTATGCAGCGCGTACAGCAAACGTCACACTTAATGAGCTTGACAATCAATATTTGGAGGGCTGGTTTGATTGTTCCGCTGTCAATCGGCGCAGTAAATGTATTTGCACGATTGTACACCTGTACATACCATATTGACCTCTATGTTTGGCTCAAGAAAAGGGCGCTCTACATGTTGGTACTTGTAGGCTGTTGGCCTGTAAATTCAGGTTATCAGCCGTATCGCCAAAGAGCGGTACGCGCCATTGTAGCTGTGTCACCTACCCACCCTCGTTCTGCGCACACGTGAGGTGGCATGGCTGATAGGCCCATCGAACCAATTCGAGATGGCACGGATCGATCGAGGTCGAGAGTCGGTGATGCCGATGAGAATGGGTCATATGTGCAGACGGAAGTCTTCACTTCAGAGCCTGGTGATGACGCATTGGTTGAAGCACGTGGGAACGCGTTGCCACCAGTCGTTCCGACCGGTGCTATAGCCTTATCTCCCACCAGTCCTGCCTTTGTTCCGTCAAGTACATACAACGATTCAAGACAAGTCATTCATCAGACGGCGAACTTCCACGATCAGAGAATGATCAACGTCAACCTGGACAAATCCGCTGAGGTCGCTCAAATTGCAGAAGTGCGACACAGGGAACTGATGTCCAAGAAAGATGAAGAGGTGAAAAAGACTGTGGAAGCCATTCACCGCGAGGCACAAGACCATGTCAAGGAGCAACTCGAGTTACAAGAACGAAGGGCTGCATCTTGGGCTGCAAATGAACAGGCTAAGATGAATTGCGCAAGAAGCAGTCATTAAAAACGCTGCTTTGACTGAAGCTCAATTATATAATCACAATTTGACAGAATTACAACAACAAGCACAGAGTCGTGAATCGCAATTGAGAGAGGAGTTGAGAACACAGACAGAGCTCATTCGAGAACTTCGAGAGAAGATGGAAACATCCGCTCGAGGGAACTTTGAGCCTGCTGGAATGCCAGCGAACGTCAGGACGACTCTTCCCGGCCCCATGGGAACAAACGAGCTGCCTCTAGGTCAATTGTATCATCCGACGCAGAGATCAATGACTGACAGCTCGGGCGAACCCTATCGTGATGCTATTGCGAGTGGAGCGGCCAATGTTCCGAAGGCAGCTGGAGGTGGTCCTCCTGATCATCCCAGTTCATCAAGTTCGTCTTCATCCGATGACAAGAAGAAGAGCAAGAAAGACAAGAAGAAAAAGAAGAAGAACGATAAGGAAGAGAAGCGTGGAAGATCACCCCGCAAAAAGAAAAAAATAAAAACAAAAAGGGGTTGCCCTCACCATCCGAGTCACCTTCATCGTCGAGCTCATCTTCTGAGGATTCGTCCTTTGCCCGGAAGGTTAGGAAACACTTGAAGAAGATGAAGAAAGAGGATCGTGAACAGAGGGCTAAAGAAGCCGAGAAGATCCTCATACCGAAATTTCCTACGCCTGAAAGGTATAGGGACTGGCGAATTAAGGTTCGGGACAACGTGTCGGCAGCGTCCGCTAAGCCGGACAAGGCTAGGTTGTGGCTAGGTAAGGTCTATGAAGACGCTGTGACCACTAAGGACTTGGATGACTCCGAGGGATTCATTACGCTGGACGCTAAACTTCTTTCAAGTCTCACGAACTGTGCGGAGGGGGACCTTGCTCGCCAATTGAACACGTTTAAGGAAACCAAAGAGAAGGCGAAGGAACCAATAAAGGGACGACAAATTCTCTTGTTGTTTCATGAGTACTTCGCTACATCCATTAAACACGGTGCTATTTACGATGTTGAAGATCTTATCTGTGTTAAGATGGTGAACGAGGACCTCAAAGGTTTTGTCACTCGATGGGAGTCTGTCATAGCGGGCATGCGAACGGAAGTTGACAAGAAGTGGCTTGAGGTATATTTTCATCTTGCTGTCAAGAACTTTAAGCCTTTAGCTCATGACCTTGCCATCTACGAACGCGCCTCGGAAGGGAGTGCCGAAAAGACTTATGACTTTTTGATTAAGTCAGCCAAGGCGTACCTTGAAAGGAAGCGTTTGGAAAAGATGAGGGACGCCACAAAGCGTAGTCTCGGAGGTAAAGACCCTGCAGCTCCTGTCATTGACCCGAATGACAAAAAGCCAAAAGGCGTTTGTTATGAGTTTCAGAACAAAGGGAAGCGCAGTAGGCGCGACTGCCCATTCAAGCATGAGAAACCCCGTGAATCCAGCAAAGGGAGGCCCAAAGGTGGTGGAAAGGGTAGATCTTCTTCTCGTGGAAGATCGTTGACTCCGGGTTCAAGGTCAGAGGTTTGCAAGTTTTGGAAATCCGGTGACTGTCACCGGGGAAAGAATTGTGCTTTCAAACACCCTGATCGTTCTTCTACTCCTGCCCCGAGTGACGACAGAAAGAAACGAAAGAAGAAGAAGAAGAAGGAGAAAAGAGAGAAGAAGAAAAGAAGTATACTCCTCGTGGCTCCAACGGTTCTGGCGGTAGCCAGAAATCCAAAGGTGGGAAAGGTGCTCCTTCTAACCCAGCTGCCGTTTGTCTTCTGCGCACTCTGGTCTTAGCGACTGCGGTCTCATCATCGCAGCCTGCTTCTATCAGTTGCCCGTTGGAAAACGTGGCCATGGTTGCTACACCTGCCGCCAGTACTTCCCCATCATCTTCAGGACGGGAGAAGATGAAATGCCTTTCTTCTGTTGACAAACCAGAAGTTTTTAAACACGTGGTTCATGATAAGTCTTTAATGTTTCCAGTTGCTGCGCGAACACAAAGCAAGCATGTCAGATTTCCCATAGGCCATAAAGGAAACGCTGAAGTTTTGGAAATGGCGTCTGAAGATGCATGCATTGCAGCAGAACGTTTGAGCAGAGCTGTTTCAAACGAGTTGAACGGCGTCGAGGCACGTTGTCGATATCTTTGCGATTCGGAAATGGGATGCAAGCATTGTTTCAAGAGCCAACAGGTTACCGTGCCTGCAACCGAGATCGCATGGATTGCAGATACTGGCAGTGCGAATGACTTGGTGTCTAGGGAAATGGTCAATCGTAATGAAGTGTTTGAATCCTCTAAACCGGTTAGTCTTTTAACAGCTAACGGGGTATTCCAGGCTAATGATCAGGCTAATCTTGACATTCCCTTGTTGGGGATCACTGCAAAACCCTATGTTCTTGATGATAGTCCGGCAGTGATATCCGTGGGGCAATTATGCATTGATCACGATTGGTCGTTCATCTGGCCAGCAAGTGATACACCATACTTCAAAAAGCCAAATGGGCAGAGAATCCAACTTCAAGTGAAAGACTATGTTCCTTACTTACCGTCAACCAGTGGTATGGCCATGACTGCTATCGGACACAAGTATGAAAAACATGCTTCCGGGAACGGCAAGTCTTCGTACATACCGATCCCCACGTCACCCAGTGTAGAGGAGGTACCCCATGAGTCTGCTGAAGCAGAACCCGAAGCAGTCGATGCCTTGTTAATCCCCGATCCACCAGCGGAAAAGCGTGATCGTGGAGAACAAGCCTTAAGGCAGGAAGCAAAGTCGCTTGCACACTTGTTGACGCATGTTCCAAAGAACCCCTTTTGTACGACATGTTCAAGGGCTAAGATGACTAAGCCGCCATCGTACAAGAAGGGAGGCTCCGAAACTGTTGATGCTGACAAGTTTGGTGATCACATCACTGCTGATCATCTTATTCTTAGGGATGATGAAGAAGAGGCTATCGATGGTTCGAGAAACGCTTTAGTCGTTAAGGACATAGCTACGGATTTTAGATATGTATATCCGTCAGCTAGGAAAACGACTAGAGATTGCGTTCTCGCGTTGAAGCACTTCACCCGGAGACGGGATGACATTGGTGTGTTCTATTCTGATAACGCAGAAGAACTTGTGAAAGCTGCGTCAGAATTGGAGTGGAGACACGTCACTAGTGTTCCCTACATCTCCAAGAGCAATGCTCAGGCGGAGAGAAGTATTCGGTCCGTTCTCGATGGAACTCGCATCAACCTTGAGCAAGCGGGTTTGCACCACACATACTGGACGCATGCTGCCAGACATTGTTGCATGGCGCACAACATACTCGGTGATCAGGAAGCTCGGACGCCATGGCAACTCAGGTTCGATGAGAAATTCAAGGGGCCCATGATCCCTTTTGGGGTGAGAATCGACTATTGGACCGGACCAAAAACCAAAACCAACCAAAAATTGAAGTTCGATCCTACCTCGCTTCCAGGAGTGTTCTTGGGATACAAGATCCACCCTGAATTCTCATGGAGAAAGGAGTTTCTTGTTCTCCCTCTTAAGGAGGTGTTGGACAACAACTTCGATAGCAGTGTGCCATGGGTTGGAACAAATAAACTCGCTTTGCCTGATGGAGATTTTGTGTTTCCACTCAAAGACAGGTATAACCCTATCCGTGAGGGTCGCATTCCATGCTACATGATATCGGACGATCCTCCCAGGCCGGAAGATGAAGATGCAAAACCCGTAGAGGAGTTGTCGGAGTTGATTGACAAAAGTCCGATGGAAAGTAGTAAGCTGTCAAAAGTCCCTTCGACTGATGAAATGGTTGATCTACCGAAGAAAGGTGCATTCGAAAGTGGCATATATGATCCTGGTGAAGAGGAAGAAGGAAAAGGAGGTTCTTCATCGTCTTCATCCGGTAAGCCCAAAGATCCCCCCAAGGATCCTTTCGAAGGTGTTCCACCTGAAGACATGGTTGAAGTTGTTGATCCCGTTACAGGTGAAGTGACTTCGATCCCAAAGGAGGGATCATCATTCTACAGTGCGGGGGGTTATAAGACTAGGAAATACAAAGGCACTTCCAAACCACCAG